CTGATTATACCCACTAGATTGATTTTGTGACCCACAAGCACATCTGATTCACAGTTGCAAAAAAACCCCGCTCTACTAAGAAAGCTGCTTCAACTGACACCAGTTTGCATGTCTGAGTGTTTGTAAAAGGAGGCAGGGCCAAGCTGGCTCTTTAAAGGCTCAGAATAACAATTTGTTTACTTGCACAATGTGTGTTTCCTAGGCCACGCCAGCCTGAGGGGAAAATTGGGATCAGAACCCAGGCACAGGCTGTTCCTCTCTCACTCTGCTTTCATCAGCTCTTCCAGAGTCACCAGCGCCACCACAAAGACCCCTTCCAGTTTCTGCGGATGCCCAAGGAACGTTCTCTGTGTGCTCCCAAATGCCCAGCAGTATCCTTCATTTTCCTTCTCTTCTGCTCCATCTCCCTGCTGGGATCATTTGCTCATTTGCTAGTTCTGCTGATGTCTGAGGGTTATCGCTGCTGCCACTGAGGTTGAGCTGCTCCTGGCGGAAAACCCAGTGGCCTTGGTGGTGTCTGAGCCTTGCGTCTGGATGAGGATGTTGTTGGTCTCACTTCTCTGCAGCAGCGCTGGGTGCCATAGCACTGTATGGGGAGATCCCCGGGGCATCCACATGCCATGCTGCAGTGCCCACCAACCTAGGGAGAGCCTCTTTGGTTACAGGATCCAAGTTAGGGTCCTCCTACCCCTTTACCCACATTCAAGAGCAGTGGGTTGGGGGAATAATCTGCATCCCATTTTCACAACCATGTTCTTTTTCTCCAGCTCTAGACCTTGGGGTGCTCCTACTCCTACCCAAACTGGTGATTTCTTCCTTTCCCAGGAAACTTTTTCATTCCTTCATGTGAGTAGATTCTTGGCAAGGTCACAGTCTGTCATCCTGCCCAGAAGTGCCTGCTTCCTAGAGTGAACATAGACTTAGTGGAATCCATTTTTATTTGAAGGCTTTGCTTTCCAGGTATCAGGAGTTACATGTTCAGAATTCAGGTTTATTATAAAAATTATGATGATGGTGATGATGATGATGATAACAAATTTTCCCCATGTATAAGACCCCAAACTAAGCCCTGTAGATACATTATTATATTTGATTCTCTCAATAATTCTGTGTGATGCATACTATTATTATCCTCATTTTACAAAAGAGAAAACCGTGACTTAGAAAGGTTAATAGCAAGGCCGTGGTCACAAGGCTGGCGGAGCAGAGAGCCAGCCCTGGACCCTGCTCAGCTACTCTACAGCTGAGCCTGGGCGTTGAGCCTGTTCTAGCCAGGCCTCCCAGCCTCCCTGGGCCTCCTTCCAACACTGCTTTCATCCTTTCTAGGCCCCTCTTAAGGGCCCATGCCATAATCCACAGGTGGGTTGCCAAACTTTATTTTAGAGCCCCCTCTTTAGTGGAAACCCCTAAGCCTCATTCTCCCCATTCCTACGTCCTCTCTGCTTCCTGGGCTTGTCAGAGTAGGAATTGCTGGGAAGGGAACGGAAGCCTCATCAGCAGTGGATCCTCCTCCCCAAACCCCTCAAGACTTTAATATAGCAACATGCCCTCCTCTCTCAGGCCCCTCCTCAGATACAATTTTGGACCTCAGAGCTGTTTCTCCTCCTTAAAAGGCAATAAGCATTCTGCATTACAAGGTCCAAATTTTGTGTGATCTTAGTGGGTGTTTTAATTGAATAGGGAATTCAAGTCAGGACTTTAAATGCCATAGAAAAAGAAAAAGTCACTGTCTTTTCAGAATGCCCATTGTAATTTGTCCTTAGCGTTTCCCCCTAGAATGGTCCTTTTTTTTTTACTTGAACTGACCAACTGAACTGCCAGACAAATACAGCTGCAAAGTGAATGGTTATGGACATGATTTCGTTCCCTTATTCATTTGCCCTCCCAACTTTAACACGTCAGATAGGAAAGACAGCGCACCCTTTCTTTGACAGTATCAACAGAACACAAAGCCATGGGCTGAGGAAGCAGTCTGGATGATTTGATACATTTAAAAGTAAGCCATTTGGGAGTGAATGACCTGCTTGACTATGTTGATCAGTTAACCAAGTATCTGCCGGAGGCACACACCCCTGCAGTGTGGCAGCTCAACTACTGACCATCTCTGTGACCCCCTCAGTGCCTCAGTTTCCCATCTGCAACATGCAGAGATTGGATCCAAGACCTCTGAGGTACCCAAAGGTTCTCAGGGTCTCTATATTATAGTGAAGCACATCATTTATATCAGATAATTTGGGGGGGAGGGGTAGAGTGAATAAAAATGATCCTCTGTTACATTTTCACTACATAATTATTTTATGGAACACGTTTCCACCGTGCACTTGAAGCAGGATTCAATTTATAAAAAATCTGACTTGCAGCCAACTTTTAAGTGACAGTTTTACTGTTTAAAGTGGGGCTCACCTATAGGTCATGATTTCTACAACACTACCATCCACTCCCTCCACAGAGCTTGACAGTGAAGCATTAACAGAATCCATTCTAAAATCATTATCTCTCTTAGTCTGAGTGGTTCCCCCACCCTTTTCTCTATAAAAAACAATGTATTTAAACCCTTAAAGACTGGTTTAATGATAATAATCTATTGGTCCTTTCAAAACACAAGACTGATTATATCACTCCACTGCCTAGAACTCAGCAGCTGTGTCCCTGCCCATCTTTCAGATGGGGTCTCTGCCAGGTGGTTACATGTGCTACTGAAGCCCCATGGACTGCTCTCAGCCTTCCCTGGGCTTTGGACTGCAGCTCAGTCATGACTCCTTCTGGGAATTGTCCCCTGACTCCCTTGGTGAGCTCAAATCCCTTTATTCTAACTGTGAGTAGCCATTTGAAGTTTCTTTTTTTTTTTTTGAGGCATGTTTTACTTATTTATTTGTTTTGTTTGTTTGTTTGTTTTGTTTATACATGCACTGGGTACAGTCAGAAGCACGGGAGGGGGAGAGAATTCACCAGAGCCAGAGCAGGGAGCAGAGCAGGCAGAAGGACCGAAGTACACTGCTGAGGGGAGCAGCGGGCGGCAGGAGAGGTCTGCGCGCCATGTGGGACCCTCCTCCGGTGGCCGGGGAGCAGCCGGGGATCGAACTAGCACTGCAGAGGCTGCAGGCAGCTTCACAACCCAACACTCAACCACTGCGCCACCGGGGAAGCCCAAAGTTTCTTTTTTTTAAAAGATTTATTTATTTATTTATACAAGAACTGGGGTACAGGCCAGATGCACGGGAAGGTGAGAGGATTCACCAGAGACAGAGCGGGGAACAGAACAGGCAGACTGACGAAATACACTGCTGAGGGGAGCAGCGGGCGCGACAGGAGAGGTCTGCCATGCCATATGGGATCCTCACCAGTCAGCCGGGATTGAACCGGCACTGCAGAGGCTGTGGACATCTTCACAGTGCGGCGCTCAACCACCTGCACCACCTGGGGAGGCCCCATTTGAATTTTCTTTGGATGAGCATGAACAGCCCATGAATAGCCTCTAGGCTCTGACATGGCCCATGGGGATTTAACAGTTGCTCACTGCCTATTCTGGGCACTGGATTCACAGTGGGGTCTCTACCTTCATTCATGGAGCTCACAGTCTTCTGGGGAAACAGGTATGAATCGAGCATGAGAAGAAACAGAGCACCACTGCCTCCCCTCACAGAGCTTGCAAGATGGAGAGGGTAGAAAGTCAATGTCTCAGGCGCCCATGAAAGGTGTGCTTATCAGTAATCACATTTGTCCAGTCCTTTTACTACTTTCATTCTAAGAAACAGAGAGAGGAAGACAGAGTCAGGGAACAACATCCCCTGGCCAGCTGCGCCAGCCTGAGGGAAAACTGCCCTCAGCCCAGTGAGAGGGCCTTGAGTCTGTTTTCCTCCTCTTGTTCTTGCCACCCTTCTGGGCTGCACAACCCTGCCCCAATGCCAGAGTCTCTTGTTTTTTCATTTTCTTCTTTAAATAAATTTCTTTCTTCAAAGGTGCATCATCTTTCTTATGAAACATAATAACATAGGCTTCATTTTGATTTATTGTTCACAATATTTATAGAACATCTGTATTGTCATCCCGCTTTACAGCTAGGGGAATAAATGCAGAGATAACATCAGCTAGTTTATGTGCAGCACTGGAAACCTCAGAACCATGTCTCTGGCTCTCCCTGCCCTATCACAGCCTCCTGGGCTATCCTCAGCCTTTCCCAAAGCCCAGGGAAATCAAAGCTGGCTGCCTCCTGCTTGCTGGAGTTCCTTCCAGGCTTCTGAGGGCTGGCGACACGGAGCCATCTACCTACGCTTCTGTTTCCCTCCCTCAGGGTGGAAGGAAGAAATGATTTACACTTGGTGGGATGGGGGTGGGGAGGGGGGAATTAAGAAAAGCAGTCATTCATGACAGTTAGTAAGTGTCAGAAAACTATTTACTCACATTCATTCCCTGAAAGTCACCTTCTGCATATGTTCTTGTTTGTCTTTCAACGATGGTATCAGTCAGGTAGACTCAGCAAGAAATACCAAGCAAGGTTTGAGCCAAATGCTGTGAAGGGAGAGAGTTTCATTTAACTTCATTTTTCCTGCCAGGGCTGGCTCCAAAGCTAGTTTTTCTTACTAGGTTGTTTGCCACATGAAAAGCAAATTCCCAGAGGTTTCTGGATTGCCGAGATCCAGTGCAAGATGACTGCTCCCACCCACCGCCCACCCACCCACCCACTAATAAGACATAATGCCGTCCTATTTTTGGTAACAATTAAAGGGCCTCCCGGTGCAAGCAGAAAGCTGTTTATTTTCTGTTACATCACTTCACGTTGCCTTCGAAGGCTGGTCTGTGCTCAGTGTTTTCGTGGTGATGCAAGTCGGCTCTCTCCTCCAGCAGTTGAGTCCCTCCCATCTCACAGCACCTCACAGGTCTTTCCCCCGAGCAGTGCATTGCTGGAGCGAGGAGCAGCTCACGAATCAGCTGCAGGTCCCTGTTTTGAAAAGCAGAGATACAGAGGCAAAGGAAAAAGGTGGACTCCTGTGTGACCTGGTCTTACAGCAAGACAATCACCATCTGAATTCCAGAAGCTCTGTTCATGTTTGGGGATATTTTTTCGACTGCATGGAATCAGAGAGAAGCCAAAGGATGGGAAATGCCTGCATCCCCCTGAAAAGAATTGCTTATTGCCTATGTCTCTTATCTGCGCTTTTGCTGACTGAGGGGAAGAAACCAGCGAAGCCAAAATGCCCTGCCGTGTGTACTTGTACCAAAGATAATGCTTTATGTGAGAATGCCAGATCTATTCCACGCACCGTTCCTCCTGATGTTATCTCATTGTAAGGCCCGTAAGCATTTTGATATCTAATTTCTGATTTAAAATTCCAGCCGATGTAATTGGGGCTTTGCATGTCTTGGTAAGAAGGGCATGGAGAGAGAGATTCCTCTTGCACGTTTGGCCATTTGACAGTACTAACATTCTGTTGCATTTAGAAATTTTTATTTTTTTATTAGCTGCTACAGAACATGCTTAGATACTCCTCAACCCTGAACATTATTCTGAGAAACCTGTAGCCGATTCATCTCTCCCACTTCATCTGGGAAGGAACAGTATCGTACTTCATAAAATAGTGTCAAAATAGTGACTGTTATGCTAAACCGGATTAACATAAGGTTTGTTCTGTGTGTGTGTGTCTCTTTGTGTGTGTCTGTTTGTTTTTGTTTTCTTTCAGATCCTTTGTGAGATCTGGCTTTACTGAAATCTCAGAAGGGAGTTTTTTATTCACACCATCGCTGCAGCTCTTGTGAGAAATATTTATATCATGACTATTTTTAATATAGCATATATTTGGATAAGCCCTCTAGTAAAATGATTTCAATATTAATTTTGTCAAATGTGATTGTATTTCTGGAAAGAAAAGGAGTATCAGTCAAGGGGGAGGGAGGTGGGATTATTTGCCTCTTGACACCAACGGTGCAGGTCGAGCCTTGCGTTGGTAAATTTGCTAACCTGTGATGCTGTCTACTTTCACGGCTATTTATGAAGTTGTTGTAACAGTAATCACAATTCCATTCCACTATTTTACTTTCATTTTTGACTTGGGAACTTTGGCTATTTTGCCCTGGAGTTTTCAAATCTGTCAATACAGAACCCAGTATAACATATGCCCTCAAGATGTTGTCTTGTGGGAGGGGGGTGGCTGCTCCTGTGCATGATTTACCAAGTGAGGGGAAAAAAATCTGGGCTCTTTCTAGGTAATTTCTTAAAATATTAAGTCTATAGAGACTGTCTTCTAATCTCATCTATTTATAACTAGTCCACTTAGAAGGAGGAAAAGAAAATATTAATATAGGATAGTGCAAGGGATTAGTCTTTGCTGTGTGTTTTGAGTTGGCCACGAGGGAACCACACATTCAAGCTATGTCTGAAAATAGTCAAAAAATAACATTTGACTAAGAAATCAGATTTCTCCACAGGCATAATAATGTAACATGAATAATTTGATCTGACATGTAATATTTGGCAATTGGAGTGCAAGTCTTAGAGCAGGACCACGTGGGGGTCGAGAGGTCTCTGGTACTCAGGTTTCGGGCAACAGACGACAGGTATAGTTGCATGATTCCAAGAGGGAATTCACTAGTTTTCCATGCACTGAGTTTTGGTTATCTTCACTGAGTGATTGAGGACCCAAGGTTTTTGCTTGTCAGTGTTTTGTTTCTATGTTTTCTTGCCTTAATTGGCCGTTTTGGCTGTTTGAGGTTATATGTACAGAGACAAGCTGCATGGATTTGAAATTGGGAGATCTGTGTGTAAATCTCACATCCCACCACACACTAGAAATTAGACGTCATCTTATGCAAATGACTAACTCTCTCTGAGCCTCAGTCTCTCCATCTGTAAAATGGAGGTAAGAACAAATGCTTTGAAGGGTTGTTGTCAGAGATAAGATTTAAGTAAATAAAATGCGTGGCAAATGGTTACACATTTGTAAATGGTAGTTTAAAATTTTTACATAAAGAACTAAAAATCACTTAATCTATTGTTTTCGTCTATATGATTTGACTATTTCATTGAATTCACAAACCTGATCAGGTATTTCGACATTATGTAACAATGTTGGCTAATGTCCTTCCACTAGCTAGAGTCTCTGGGAGATAAACAATTAAATAGCATATTCCTAAAGGAATTATCTGTTTGACTGGGCTATTGATGTGATCACATCAAACTGGTGTTAGTACATGTAACAAATCCAAAAAAGATAAAATCTTTAGCACAGAAAGGGACATCTCTAATGCTGGGATCCTTCCATAGGGATAACAATTTTTTGTATGTGAGAAAGTGATAAATTGTGCTTATGTTGTTCATTTGCTGAATAAGTGAATGCCTCATTTGAAAAGCATCCTTTGAGGAGCTAAGGCACCTCCATCCCCCCAGGATAGTTAAAAAGATCAGTCTTAATATTCAAGCAGTGTCAGTCAACACACACTGGCACTAGATGGACATGAGCTGTGATACAGTAAGTCTAGATAGAGGAACCTAATCAGTTAGCATATCTCCACTTTGTTTTTCCTGGGTGACAAGCACAGATGCTGGACAATGTTATAGAAATAGTTACCGGCTGCTGCAGGGTAATGTGATTACACGTATTTAGAATCACAGAGGGAAGCCAAGGAACTGGTTTTTAAATAGCCCACACGGAGTGTGTGCCATGCCCCTGTGTCCCATGCTCCAAGTTCCTATGGAACATTCCAGCCCTTATTTCTAAAAGCGGTTCAGGTTTCAGAAATAACAAAAGGGAGAGTAATTCTCGCCCTGTATGTCCTTAGTTAACTTACATTGCTAACCTCAACATGGCAGCTTTGTGCCAGGGCTAATCTTATGCAAAGTTGCAAGGGTCAAGTTTATTTCTAATCTCCAGGGTCCTATTTCCTAAAGACGCTGGTCCCCATATTTCTTGCCCAATGTTCTCTGCTTCCTCTTTTCCTCAGGAAAGGATCTGATAAGCTCATTTTCACTTACAAGGAAATAAATAATAAGGTTCAGAATACGAACTGTCCATAATCATAACAGTGGTGGGAAAGGTTGGTTCCCAGACAAAAAAGAGTCCTTCTATGGGACAGGGCCAGCCGGTGCCCTGCAAACTTCACATGAGCTGCTAAACCCAAAATGGAAAATGAAGACCAAGGGGCCTAAATTTGCCATGTGACTTGTGCCATTAGACCAGGCCTGGGACACACCAACCATTGCTTGGGGCTTGCAGGGAATTCTAATGGCATTTATGACTGTGATAACCAAATTGACCTGTCATAGCCTGTTAAGAAATAAAGTTCAAAATTAGTTCTGCTGAGTGACATACAAAGGCAGTGGTTTATTGCTCTGCTGTTTAAAAAGGGAAAAAAATCTCTTTCCCATGATCCACCCTAACTATTTGATAATTTCATTATGGCCCCAAATGTTTTTTCAGACCTGCAGAAGGCATGATGAGAAGTACTCTTTGAAATGTCAGCCTGGGGTGCTGAGGGAAACAGACGTCGTTTCTCCTTAAGTTACACACAGGGTTTTTGGGGAAAAGATCGTGGTAGGCCGTGGTTGGCAGTTTGTGTTGGAGAACAAGAAAAATAAAAGCCTACACTCTACACTCTTGTAGAGAGGAGAGGAAAAAATAAAATTTCCCAATAAAACTCATCAGATTAGTTGTATAAAACATTCTTTTAAAAATATTTCATTTATGGTTTTAAACAACAGGAAAGCCTTTCCCAAGCCAATGCAATTTCATTCATGTTTTCTATAGGCCCCATTATAAAATATTACCAGTGAGAATAATTATTCATTCTAGATCCCTTTTTGTTACAGGAAGTGGAGCTTATAATGAATGCAATTTGCAGAAATGTGTTTTCACACATTATAGTCGTATTCTTTCACTACAGACTGAAATTTCCAATGGTACCAGCTCATTATAGAAATAAATTCAAATTTAAGAGTATAAAATGCATCCAGGTTCCCATTCAATTATAAAATTTTTAATAAGCTAAATCTTCCAACTCTTAAGACAGTTTATTTGAGAGGAGTAAATTACAGAGTTGGCTTTAGTATCGTGATTTTAAAAAAAAAAAATCTCTATATAAGAATTCAATGTGAACAGAAAAATATTCTATTTATTCCAATGATAGTTGGTATTTTTGAAACAATGAAACTGATTCCTCTAGGGAGAAAATATTATTTCTTTTACTAATCCATAGTCAACATAGAAGTGTGTAGGGTCAATAAAAAATAAAAAACTAAAAACAAAAAATTAGTTTTTTAAATAAAGCAAGCAACATGACCAAGATAAATATATCTATCTTTACCAAATTACCAAAGTTTTATCATTTAGTCTTTCCAAATATCACTTGTCCAGGAAAAGAATATCTGGGGCTTATCTTGCCTTCACAGTGATGGACTTCTTTTTCTATTCTTCATATTACAAGTGCAAGAAAGATTTAACAGCCTTCACTGAGTATTCAAACCGGACCTGTCAGATAAGAGGGCTTCTAAAGGAATTATAGACTGGTCGTGGATGTTTTGATTTGTACCCAGTTGGTACCTCCACAATGGACAGTAATGTTAAAAAACTTTATTCATTGAGACTTTTGTCTGCAATTTGCCCAAAGACTCATAGCTCTAATTTTTAAGTTTTAATTAATTCTTGTAATTGCACAAACCAACTTTGTACAACAAATGCTTTTTTCTGAAAGTATATTTTTATCCTCTCAATTATTCAGGCAAGAAATTTTAGAGTCATCTGCTCCTTCTTCCTCATTGTCCAGTTCCAACTGGACATGTTCTTTCTCAAGCAGCATGGGAACCCACCACCTCTTCATCCCAGGGTGATGACCCTAACTGAGCCTACATTTACTGCTTCCCAGGTTTTCTGCTTCCCAGGTCTTCTGCACTGGTCTCCCTGTTTCAGCACCCATCCTACCTTCTGCCACTAGGTCACCTTAATGTTAGACAGATCTCTTAATATTACCCTCCCTACTTGGAGCCTTTAAAGTGTCCCTACAAACAAAGATTCTGTATAGCTATATCTATAATATAAAATTGAGTATTTGTCCAGAGTCATCTCTCACAATATTGGCCACAGACATACACACGCACACACATACACACACACACACTCAACCAAGCTCCAACCAGACTACAGTGCCTCACTCCTTAACCTCTGTTTTCTCAAGCTCTGTAGACTTTCCTGGTGTCTCTAGTTCTCCGTTATTTATTAGAGCTACTTGTGCTGGTTTCTACTGGATGTCCCTCATGGTAGATTATCAATAGCCAGGATCCTAGAGAAGAGCCTGGGTGTTATAAGCTTAGGCCTTGCTTTCTATTGTATGTGTTTGTTGGCTTCACATATTTTCACAGATTTTATGCTACAGACTCCCATTTTACTCTCAGTAAGATAGCCTTGGTCATGCTCACACTCTTTCTTATGTTTGTTATGGCTTACCAGATTTCACATGAACTGAGCGTGGAGGTCTGGAAAGTCGGATAAATTAAATTAAGAGATATTTGCTGTTGGTGTAATGATGTCAAACACTGGAGATGTCCAGTGTACCAGAATTTAAAAGGTCAAGCTTCCAGAACCTTTCATTAGACCCATTGATTAAAATTTTTTGTTCCATTTTTACTTCCTCTGGGCCTTTGAAACACAAAATATCATATTTAGCCTCATAAAGTCTTCACTGGACTGTGGATGCTGACTTGCCTCTTTCCTCTAAAGGGGTAAAATATAGGCACAAAATGACCTCTTTATTCAGCCTGGCAGGA